CATTCCACTTTTAAATTCCCCACATAACACCTTTCAACACACACACTTCTCACTTCCTAACAAAAAACATACATTTTTTTTTTTACTTTTAAAAAATACACTTTTATCTTTTCCAACACACTTTTCCAACCTACGCTTTCCACAAAAACAAGCCCTTTACTTTTCCACACTTACACATGTCGCCCTTCAAAACATACATATATTACTTTCCAAAAAAATGCATTTCATTTTTCAATATATACACTTTCCAAAATCACACACTTTCACCTTTCCAAAAACACATTATTTGCTTATTTAAAGTTCATATATTTCACTACTCAGCATACATTCTTTTCAAAAACATATTTTCTTTCAAAATAATACACTTCATTTGAGCACAACAGAGCAAAGTCACTTTTTCCAACCTACACTTTCACTTTTAAAACATACAACTTCCACTTCCCACTTTTCAAACACCTCAAGTTTTACTTTTCAACACACACACATAAATCACTTTTCAAACAAATCATTTCACTTTCCGAGAGATACACACATACACATTACTTCTTACATACACAATTCCACCTTTCCAAAACACACACAATTTTCATCTTTCAGAACCCACAAACCTTACTTTTTATTTCTCACACATATCACCTTTTCAAAACTAAACATTTTTCATTCTCCAATAATCAAGCTTCACATTACCATTCAAAGATCACGCACAAAACTTCTCATTTGAACAATACACTTTTACTTTCCAAAATTACAAAAATTCATTTTTCAAACAATACATGCATTTATTCTCTTTTCAACATTCACAAAACGCTCGAAACCATTATTCACCACTTTATATAAATGCAAAGGAATAATTCATCACCTATTTTCCCCAAAGCATAACATGAAACACTTCAAATTATCTTCCACAAGTTTTATCACAAAAAAAAAAAGCTACAAATGCATATGCTAAAGTTTTACAAATACCTCAATTTCTTTCTAACAACTCAAAAGACCTCTCAACAGCATGTAATAACTTTTGTAGAAAATCTAAGAATGCTCACATTTTTTTTTTCAAGGCATGCATCGTAATTGTTATACATAAACAAATCTCTTCAAATTTTCATTTCAAACATCTTCTAAGTAAGTGAAAGGAAAAGCTCATGGTTATCGTCTACAGGGTTTCTATACTTTCACTTACATTTTCTTTTAAAAGGTGATATGTACACAATTTAGTTCACTATCATGTGGTGCATTAACACATAAAATCTGTAAGAGAGTTTCAACATATCATACATTTTTGGCCACTAAACACGATATCACAAGAACTTTCATACAAGCCATAAAGTTTTGTAGTCATTTATTTTACATATCTCGAACTCGAGGACTATAAGAAGGAAAATGTAGATTTAACATTTGCCTTCTCAACATCCTTATTCGCTCAAGGTTTATACAAATATCATTTCTTAATAGGCATTGCAACAAACACTTTCCATGCGCTTGGTAAAAAAATGCTATGATTTCCCAATATTTACATATGAAGCTCTAAACTCACTTCAAATGGTATAAACCAATAAAGAAAACAAATTTCTTCATATTTTGTACATAAAAAAAGTGATTCCTACAACATAAATCTTGCTATAGGACACATTCACACTTTGCAAAATCATCTAGGTTGATCTCTAAAATGAAAGATTCACGAAATAGAGCGTTTCATTCACAAAAACTGCAGGAATTTTACTATAACAGCAAAATATGAATTCTATACAAGTTCATTTGATGGGTTAATCATATAACAGTTGTCATTCTTGAAGAAGAAGGATAGGATAAAGATAAACAAGATGAAAAGGATGAGAAAATATATCTAGAGCAGGAGGAAAAGCAGGCGGGTAGGGTTGCTGTCCATGAAAGCAAGGGAGGCGGACGGGACCTAGGGCTTGCGAACAGAGATACGTCAGAGGGGAGGGACGTAGTTCTACGTTCGGAAGCAAATAACATGTCGCCACGTGGTCTTACTCAATACCGCGCGGCCCGACGACTTGACCCGGGATTGCTATGTTCGCGTATTGCTCGGTATTGCTCTAGGTATTACTCGGTATTGCTAGGTATTGCTCGGTATTGCTAGGTATTGCTTGACAATAATTAAAAATATAGCTCTGTGAAGACCAATACCGAGCAATACCGAGAAAAACTCGGTATTGCTCGGTATTTCTCGGTATTGCTCGGTATTGCTCTTCACATAGTGGTATTTCTCGTTATTGCCGAGCAAAATCGTACAATACCGAGCAATACCTAGTAACACGCGAACATAGCAATCCCGTCTCTGTTCCGGGTCGGGGTTGTCGGGCACGATAAATAGTGAGAATACGTGGCACTATTTTACTGGCGTCCGAACGTAGAGCTACATCAGGTGACTGGACCAAATAAAAGTTCCTGCGGCTAGCCTTGGGGTCGTACAAAATAGAGGGAGACAGGAGAATAGAGAGCTTCGCCTAGGGCTTCTCATGCGGCCGAGGGAGGGAGAGAGGATTAAGTTTTTTGCAAATCTAAGGGAGCAGTTTGGTTTTTGCAAATGAATAGGGATAAGTGCGGTTCGATTCAAAGGGCCTAACCACCCCAAAAAGCCATATATTTTTTTAATTTAAATTTGGTTTTCATTAGGATTAAAATTATTTTGAATTTAATTTAAAAAAAATCAAATGTTAAATTTTTCATTACTTTAAAATAGATAAAAGAAAAATTGTTTTGATGGAATTAGTATGCCTATTTAAACAAAATTTACTTGAAATTTTAATTTAGACTGATTCAATTTTATGTATTTAATTCGACTAGTGTGAATTCAAATTCGATTTAGCTCGTGATGAGCCTATTCTACGTCAATTTGTATCCAACTAAGGGGATATTAAGGACGACGTCTGCACTAGGCTACGAAGACCTAGGTGCTAGAGGTAAATTCTGGGAAAATTGACCTCGAATAATGAGGTCAACACCGTAGACGTGAGGAAAGGTTAGTTGCGAGTGTCGGAGGCGAGCCCGACTAGTGATTGGCGAGAATCTGATGCAAGCGCGGGCTGCACTGCAGGCTATGTTTTGACCGTTTTGAGGCAACACGAGTTGATTTTGGATTGCTAAGTCAACCCGAATCCGACCCGATTTTAAAAACGGGTCAGAATCTCGAACCCGAACATGACCGTTATGACAAACGAGTTGACCCAAAATTGGAATTTTTTTAGCCGGGTTTTAGGTCTGGTCAAATTTTGGCACCCCTAAAAATAATCAATATATGTTCTACAATGTATATTCTTATTAAGTAATGAGATGCTCATCGTTTTCTTAAATAAAATATTAGCAGTTATAAAATTCTAAGGTAAAGCAAAACCTAACTTGGTCCTACAACCTTCACTAGCTGCTCTAAACTCATAGCCTCCATGAATGCTTTTAAAATCTTCTACCATTCTACAAACATATGTATTTAAATATCCTCTAATAAAAATTCTTTTTTTATGGGGGTATCCTTTGTATTAACATTTATAAGGCATTCAAAAAAATTTTTTGAACACATATTTAAATCTACTTGGAGAGCAAAAGCAATTACAACATTAAAAATTTAAGCATTCATAGTAATCTTTGAAGCTATAATTAATTTCTATAACATTGTCTTTCAAACTATTATTTATAATACATAGACTATTTCTAGTATGACTCCTACATGAATACTAGATCCAAAATTATGAATCTCCTTAATTTTTTCCTCGACTCATTTAGTTTTCTTAATATATAAAATATTTATCCCCTTATGAATAATGACATATATATTAATTCAATTAATTTGCCTAGAAGAGTACTTATATTAGAAGTTCATATCATAATTTTAATTTCATAGACTAGCTTATTTGCCCTCATTTATCAATGATATGAGAACCCTTTATAACTTAATATTATACTTAAGCACCGATGCAGCAACCCTTACACACTTTCATTTTATTCAAATCATACAACGTATCGCTCCTAGGAAATGCCATATAACATTAACATTATTATTGCCAAATCCCAAACCCTATATGATAAAAGTAGAGATTTGGGTTAAGTTATCAATAGCCAACATAAATTTGTTGAAAAATCATAACATATTTTTTGATATTTAAAAAATAAAAAAAGTGGAAATATTCTAATATAAATTTTTCAAAATTTGAAAATCTACATGATATATATATATAATGCATTATTCTCCTTTCCAATTTATTTCACTGTTCATGTAAATAGCCGTGCATAAAGATAAACATTTATAGATGATGAGGCAGACAGATGGATAGGAAGATAAGAGAAATTGTATTAGTAAATAAAATAATTGTAATAAATGATTTTATTCAGTAGAATGCATGAGATGAGATGTTTTATTCATATTATTTTAAAAAAAAAAATTCAACACATCTTAGCATCGACCAAACCATCCCATTTTCTCATGTAACAAAAGCTTAAAATTTTGAGTAAGTTCTATTTAAAATGCAACTTCTTTTGTTTTTAGAAGAGAAAATTATTTCATTATTTCTCAAGCACACATCTCAAGGCATTTACAGTTTATATAATGAAAAGGGTATATATATATATATATATAATCTCATCTTGAAAGACATAACATAAGATCAATCTGAAAGTAATCATAAGACCAATTATAAAACAGAATTCAACATAGAAAACCAGTTAAAGGTGGTTAGATAATATTTTCTTAACTAAGAGGCACAGAACTCCCAAACGTGCGTGCAACAAACAACGGTCAAGTGACATTAATATTCAAAGACCCAACCAAAAAAAAAATAAAAATAAAGACAAATTAATTGTATGAAAGAATAAATACTTGGTCATTTGTTATTCATTTTGCAGGAAGCTTCATATCATACATTTCCATACAGAAATTATAAAATACAATCGCACAGTGTCATCTAAGCGCAAAACGATGACTAATAAACCAATATGGGGGTGGTTGATTTAACATACATGCCACTTAATTCATATATATTTGCATATCTAATAATTAAATTTTTATATAACACATTAATATTTAAAACACATCAAAAATATGGCTTACATTCATCTTTATTATTTATTCATTTTTATAATACATATGCTTTTGATGTGTTTTACAATTTAAAGTATTATAGAGCTAATATAAATATGACGATATTAGATATGTAAATCCATGATAATTAAACGACAAGCATGCAAGGAGTTGCCACTTACAAGAAAGAATTTTCAGCAAAAGCCAACTGTTTCAGTTCCAAAGAATGAAAGGTCCATATTTCAGAATTCTACTGTTCCTTCCATATCCGGCCTGTGACTCTGAGCTTCAGCTCCTTCCTGTCGCCTCCGGAAAAGAAGAGAGCCATACTCCTGTGAATTATGAGCCCATCAAGGCTGTCTCGAACCTTGGAATGGCTATCACGAATACTTCTAGGATAGCCCTCCCATATAAGCTTCCTGCCAGTTCCCCCAACCTCAAGGCTGTAACTGAACTTTCTCGCATCATTCTCATCGCCCATAAAGCGCAGGAAGGCCATATACACGGGCGCCGTACCTATCTGGAATGCCTCAAAATGCAGGCAGAAATACTGTCCAAAGCAATGAAATACCTGCAAAATTGGAGATAATATTGTAAAATGCAGTAGATGTGAACACCATCATGTTGTAATTACCACACAAATATAATACTGGCAGGAAGGGCAATCATAGAGCAACAGATTAAGGGTCTGTTCGGGGCGACTGCAACCATCTCTTAAATCCTACTTCTCCTAGAGATCAACTAAATTCGGGCTTTAACCTAAAACAGGAGAAAATCAAATTTAAGAAGGAAGTAAGATTTGCAACTCAAAAAATTATTAGGCAAGACTTAGGCTTCATTTGAAACAGTTTTCTTATTGATTTCTAAAACAATTTTTTGGCACACAAATTTTTTATACAAAAAATTTTTATGCTAAAAAGTTATTTTAGAATGTAATAAGAAAGCTGTCTCGAATGAAATCTTAGTTAAATCTAAGTTAAAACTCGTCTGCCAAGCAACCAAAAAAGAAATAGTTAAGCAAAACAATAATGCTCAAAAGAAGACAAATTATAGATGGTTGATTATGGTTTGTCCTATGGCTTAACCCATGTCAATCTAGTTCCAACATCTTGTGAGTTTCTTTAGTTTTCGTTTGTATACAGCCAAGCAATAGCTTATTTCCATCTAAAAAATCTTCAGTTCTTCAATAAAATTATAAATTTATATAACAAAATGTAAAATAATTGGTTTTGATTGCCTAATTTTGAAAAAAAAAAAGTTTTTCCTGGCCTCCTTCTAGACTATCAATAAAGCAAAATAAATAAATAATGACAAAAAATGGAACTGACTGCTTGTTAGAGCTATATAAGAACATGAAGTGATACATAGCAGCCCCTATAAGTGGTCATACTTACAGTTAGCATCCAGGTGGCATTCTCAACTTCATGTGGTTTAGATTTCACATATCGGTGGTTGAATGTGCACCCAGTATGCATATCCACTTTGTGATCATCTCGTAAATGGGAAACCAAGAAAGGTATAGCCCCATTTACAAAGCATTCGGAACCAGCATATGGGCAATTGTATGGTCTGAAAAGGCATTGAGATTCGTGCTTGTGTTTGGTGTTGTATCGAAAAACTTCGGGACAACCCAATGTAGAATACTTGCATGGAAGCTCAAGCGACTCAGCTACCTTTTCCAATGCTAAGCACCGAATGTCTCCAAGTTCCAGTCTGCAGGTGGGACACCAGTCGTGCACTGTTTTGCAATTTGAACAAAGAGTGTGACCGTTACGACACTGCAAAATTTCAAAACATAAGATTGTAAGAATCGGTGAAATCAAGACGGAGAACCAGGAGCATGTGCTCTCAAAAGCTCAATCTTGCCATGACTGGTCAGATTGGATGGTTTACTTGGCTTCAAATCATAACATTTGCAAAATAAAAATAATATAAAAAGCCGGAAAATAGAGGGATAAATTATAATCTTAAAGAAACTACCGAAGATATTTTCACCTGGTCATGAATGTTTGTTTGGCCAACTTACAATTAGTACAATCGAGAATGAAGTTTAAGATAACAAAGCTTAATTTTATTATAGTAAATTTGCCCTAATTACAAGACATAGTTACAATTATGGATCTTAATCAAGTTTTAGCATATTATTGTCTTTGTATGCTAATCATTGTTATAACATTATTATGTAATGAAATCCTCATAATATCTCTTTGGGTTTATGTCAGATCAAATTAGTTCCTTTCATAATATGGCTATGATGATAAAACCTGAAATTCCACTCAATTTCTAAATTATACAAAATTTTATGAGTTTTCCTCGAAAAAAATTAATTCCCCAGGAGCATGATAGCCTTAAAATTTCAAAATAAACAAAAAAACAGTTACCTACATATCACAAAGTTCATAAACTATAATTAGAATACTATACTAGATGGATTCAAGAGTTGAAAAATCAAAGAAGATTTTTAGCAGATAAATCAGGTAGATCATTCAAGTTTAATATGCAATAAAACTAAAAAGGATTGAGCTTAAGCTTACATTAAAATAATATTATGAGCAATATCTATTGAAGATAAATTAATAAAAAAAAAAAGTGGTTTGCACATGTACAAGGGAAGGTAGAAGGTGCTGCAAAGAATTAATGTGAATTAATAAAGAAGGAAAAAATAAGTAGAATGATGTATAAAAGTCATACAAAAGATGCAGAATATGGAGTTACACGTGGTACTTAACAGGAATGAGTGAAGATTCTAAAAACCGGGTCCCAATAGTTGTAATAACGCTAATGATGGTAATGTCTACCCACAATGTTCATATATATAGCCATTGTCAAAACTATAAGAAGATGGAAAAGTAACAATGAAATAGAAATCATTATAAATGGATTTCATCAACAAGATGAAACGCACAAAAATAAAAGAGTACACGAGGCATTTATTGAGTAGTTTGTCTACATTTGATATAATAAACATAATGATATTTTTTTTGCTTTTCAACAGTAAGTTGGGTCAAGAAAGAAGCCTTACACAAACATTTCCCAACAGTTTCTTCCTTAATAAAAAGGATTGCATGGTTATATCCACAAAATAGTACAGGGCACGATGATAGTCTATATAAAACTTGAAATCAGAGAATGAAAAACTTAGCACTCATTCCACATACTGAAACCAATTAAGCAATTCAACGTGGGTGAATAATGCAACAGGCTTATAATATTTTTAGGAATTATTATAATTTTCAGTTAACACAAACTTGATGTAAGAGTCATGGTTCCTACCTATATAAGGAGATTAGAAAGCTGAATGAACTTTAGCTTCCTTTAACCATAGCCGCTAGCACTTCTCATGTTATTCCCACTATTTCTTGTCTTTTATTTTCCTATCAGAGCCATCTTTCTGTACCCACTTATCTCTTTTTCTTCTCCCTTTCACTTGGCATCAGTTAGATATCAAAGCCGATTAATCCCATTGCACAATTTGCCTAATCTTCCTACAAAGAAATGCCACCCGATCCGATTTATTCTTGTACCATTTGGCACCACCCTCTATTCTATAACACACTTTAGACATCCCCTTATCCGCAACTTCTTAGACCTCCTCAAATCATCCCGTAGAAGAGGAGACCAAATTTTGCTTGAAGTACTATATAATAAAGTTGCAGAATTATACAATTCTCTTTATAGCATTTATCATGATGACATGATCATTCTTCACATTCTTCATATTATAAAAGATCATGGGAGGCACTATGTTGATCAATCTCCTACGCATGTATTTTATAATAGAGACATGCAATCTTCATATTCAATACAGTTCAATGATCAATATACTGAATATGTTGACTATTGATCTACTAGATTTACATCATACCAATATCAACATGAGCATTACGATTGCCTTCCTCAACAATATTCTATTATATTTTCCGTCATCTCACCATACATTTGAGAAATAACTATAAAAGCATGCATGAAACACTGCATAGGTTAAGTTTGTGAAACAATATATTGATCCACAACCACAGGAACTAATAGAGATCAAGAATCCACATAATCCTTTAGAAATTGGATAACATCTAGCACACCATTGACCTTATGCCTAGATCCGCCTTCTCAAATTTGCCCCATTGTTGGATACGTTTGATCAAGCATGTTAAACATGAGAGATAAGTGCTAGCTATGAGATTGCTAGCTATGAGATTTATTCGAACGAGCATATCTATGTGTGTTGCTCCATCACTTTTGACCCCTAATAAGGATGCTTGGAATATAGTTGAGTCATCAATTAAGATAATCATCAAGTATAAATTACGATGTTTGAATTTGATAGCATCCTCGACATGATGGAAAGAGCAATTTCTTTTTAAATGATATATCTAATAAGTTGATATCATTAGATTATTATGTGTGCAAACGATGAATGAAAAACAACCTCTAAAATAAAGTAAGGCATTTAACAGTAGTTGGTGATGCCCTTCTAATCCAACATCCTCAATATACTTATGTGAATGCTGACTCACATATTCCGCCCTTTTCTTAGAAAGCTCATAGTTGTCTATTTTGATGGCATGATAATTTTTAGTCTGACTAGGGACAATAACACGTCACTTGTGTCATATATTTGCAACACTTCACTGAAAAAATCTATATATTAATCCAAGGAAGTGCTCATCACGACTTCTTCAATGATTTTCTTAGGATTTATCATTTCTTGAGACGGTGTTTTTGATAATCTCGAGGTGCTCAGCTTGTCCTGATAAAATTATGAACATTTAGGAAAGACCTATCTCGATCATAATCTATGAGGTACATAGTTTTTTATGGCTTAGCTATCTTTTACAGGAAGTTGATCAATAAATTCAGTATTACTATGGTCCCAATCACCCATTGTCTATGGAAGCAAAGATGTGTATAAGAGGAGAATTCTATGGGAAAAACTACAGTTTTATCCTTCAAAGGATAAGGCATTGGTAATTGGAGGTGATTTCAATTGTCTTCTCAATAAGGAAGATAAAAGGGGTGGGAAAAGATTCATTTATTCCTTAGGTGCCAAAGAAATGGAATATTTTCTTGTAAATGATGACCTTCACGAGGTGTGTTGTATTAGACCCAAATACACATGGTGCAATAATAAATCTGGAGCTGATAGAATTCTTGAAAGATTGGATAGATGCTATTTGAATTCAATGGATTTAAGCTCTCCTCATGGGTTGGTGGTAAGGCATTTGGCTAGAATCGCCTCGGATCATTGTCCAGTGATCTTAAATATTTTGGAATACAATGCAGTTTTTAAAAAAACTATTAAATGCGAAGACGTCTGGATATCAAATCCAGCATCTTTTGCGGTGGTTAAAAAAGTTTGGAGCAGAAAAATAGAGGGAAATTATGGCCAAATTCTGAATTGTAAAATGCAGAGAACATTGAAGGCTTTGTACTACTGGAGTAAAGATAAACACAATTCTCTTGTTCAAAGAAAAGACTGTTTAAACAAAGAAATCCTAGAGTTACAAGAAAAAGAAAGCAAAGAAGGTCTTTCGGGTGATGACAGTTGGATACTCAAAAGGTGGGAGATTTCACTTCAAATCTAGCTCGGCTCAACACTTGGTGGAGGCAATGTGTCAAAGTGAAACGGGCTACTGAAGGAGACTGCAATACCAGATTCTTTCATGCATATGCTAGTGCAAGGAGGAATGCCAACATTATAAGTAAAATCAAAAATGAAGATGGATTAGAGGTAGAAGACCAGCACCAAATTGAAGACAGTTTATTTCAGTTTTTTCAAAAAAAATGGAAATACAGGAAGTGTAAGTTGGAAGGATGGCCGGAACCTTGGTTTTGTTTGGATGAAGAGGATTCCAAATATCTAACTAAAGAGTTCTCTATTGAAGAAGTTGAGATGGTTATTAAAAATTCCGGAAACTATATAACAACTGGAAGCCATGGAGTCACATATTCATTTCTTAAAGGCTATTGGGACATCATCAAGGATGATCTGTGGAAGGCTCTTATTTTGTTTTTTCAAACAGGAAAAATGAATTCAAAGTGGAAAGAAGCTTTAGTTGTTTTGATTCCTAAAGTTTCTAATCCAATATATCCTTCCAACTTCAGACCAATCAGTTTGTGTGATGCAATTTATAAGGAGGCTGCTAAGGTCGTTCTAAATAGATTATCCTCCATCATTCATAAAGTGATTTTTGTTGAACAAGCAGCATTCCTAAAAGGTAGATCTATGTCGGATCACGTCATGGTAGCTCATGAAATCTTCCACAAATTCAGACATTCAAAATCCTCTAAAGGATGGTTTCTTTCAAATTAGATTTGGAGCAAGCATATGACTCCATGGGATGGCCAACATTGGAAAAAGCTTTGATGTACTTCGGGTTTCCTTCTTCCATTTCTTCCTGATTTTGGAATGTGTTAAAAATCTAAAATTTTCTTTACTAATTAATGGAAGCTCATTAAGATGGATCGAGGCTAGATGTGGATTTCATCAAGGTTGTCTCTTATCACCTTTTATGTTTATTCTTTGTGCTCAACTTTTGACAAATGCATTTAAACAAAGAGGTGATAATTATGGTGTAAGCATTAGTCCTAATGGACCCAGGATCTCTCATTTGTTATATGCGGAATTGCGAATGATATCATAACTTTTTTAGAAGCAAATTTGAAGGAGGTTAAAAATATCAAAGGCATAATAGAAGATTTTTGTGGTTGGACTGGACAAAAAGTTAATGCAAACAAATCATGTGTTCTTTTTGGAAAGGCGGTTAATAGAAGAAAGAAG